GATGGGTCGATGGTTAGACTCTGAGCTTTGTGATATCGTCTCTTGGGAAGAACTGAATCTATTGCTGGTGTCTGACTGAGCTAAACTGATCTGGGATCAGATGATGAGCCTGTGAGCTGTAACAGGAATCATCTAATCCACATTTTGGTTCAGCTTTCACATTTCCAATTATATTTATCAAACACGACACAGCGGTGGAACAGTGGGGTCCTTTCTCAAGTTTAAGTGGCAATTCAGAACTAATGAAAATCCTACTTTATTAAAAGCCCACAAGTATTGTCCACCGTGGAGTAAATACTCCTTCTGAAATGTAGAGGGCTAAAGGTATGAAGTATTATATTCAAACACACAAACTAAAGGATAACATGTAAAGATAATGTACTTTCCAGCACTTGTGCTCAAACGTTTTTTACCAAGAAATATCACAATGCTTCTTTGACCAAATTCTGGCATACGTTAAATATCTTGAATGCAATCCTATGAACATATACACAATTACATCAGAGCGAGCCAAGACTTCACTTGGCAGCGACTTCAGAAAACTTTCCGTGCAACTTTTGTCAGATCACAATTGAAAGATTTATGAATCAAACATTGCAGTAGTAAAAAGTGGAGATAATTCAGTTAATAAGTTGCTGTTTCACAGGAAGCTGACAGAACGGTGTTAACAAAGGAAGTGTCAGGATCAAACAGAAAACACAGTATTCCACTCGTCTCCCATCAAAAAGCAAACCACAGACTTCTACCACACAGCATGCACACAACATATTATGTGATCAGACGGTAAACAAGGCACACACACATGAAGCCGTGCAGAAGCTTTACCTTCCTCCTGCTGGGCTTCTTCCTCTGAGCAGACATAATAAGGTCAGCTACGTCTAAAGCTTGAAAGTGACATTCTGCTTTCAAACCCCACTGAATGCTCTCAAAGGCTTACTTACCTTCCTCCCTGCAAAAGAAAAGAGATGTTGCTGTGAACTTCTACGGCTATCGGCTGCTCAGATCTGAGAGTAGATTTGACTTAAAGCACTAGAGACGCTACTTAAATGCAATGGATGTAACTTACAGCATCTCCTCCACGACTTCTTCTTCTCCGGACATCTTCAACTCCAATGACCTGCATCAAAGAGGAAAAGCAATGAAGTCCTTGTTTTGAGATAGTCAAATACGTTTTATAAGTGACTCACACATAATATAATTAGTCTGGATATGTTTATTTTTTAATGTTCTTCTTGCCATGTTTTGTATCTTCTTGATATATTCCCCTTGTCTTATCGACTGCAGTGTTTTTACAACCCCTGAGATTCCTTTCCCTCGGACAGATGGTTTCTCTCTCTTCTTTTATTCTCCTCTCAGCTCCTTTGTGCAAACAACTAAACCAACGCCTCGGCTACATGTTGAAAGATTGGAGCAATTGTAGAATTGAAAATGATTCAACCATGGGCACTGAGAGCAGAGGCTTTGAACAGCTCCAGGCTAATCCTCAGCCATTTCCTGTTGGCTCAATGCAGCCGGCTGGAGTCTGAGCAGCGCTGAAACCACCCGGACCGAGCGCCTCTGAAGCTGAACATTTCATACTGGCTCAGATATGTTCACTCCTAAACAACGTTCCAGGTGCTCAAAAGGCTCTGGAGTGGTGCGCTGCGAGAAATGTCCATCACAATACGTCTGATATTCATGCACATTATCCTTTTTCTGATTCATGCTGTTTAAAGGGTCCCTTTTAAAGGTTTTCACTTTCCTGTTGTGTGTTATATAGGTTTGTGTGCATGTAAATGGTCTGCAAAGGCTACAATCCCAAAGTTCCCCCAGAGAACTCCACACACACTCTGCCTGAAACGCCTCCATTGGACTCAGTTGTTCCCTTGTGTAACTTAATGACATCACTATATAACACTTACACTTCTATTGGCTACGATCCAACACATTGTACGTGCTAGGCTAAAGCGGGACATCTTTAAACGGTTGACCAATCCCAACAGAGCCGGCCAGCTAACCAATCAGAGCAGACTGGGCTCTGGTTTCAGACAGAGGGTGAAAAGAGGTGCTGCAGCACAGGCAGAATGAGACAAAGAGCTTTTTGAACATTAAAGCACAACATACTAATATGAACTTGGAAATGCCCAAAATATGTCCTCTTTAAAAAACAGATTTTAACAACTCAAAGGTCGTTTCACCAATTTCACATAAAGATCAGATTACTTGAGCTCGACCTCCAAACTGAATGTCTGTTTCAAGGTTACAGGGATGGATTCAACTGGCATCTTAAAAGTCCCCTATAAATATATCAGTTACATGTCAGCCTTGGACAACAACCCTACGATTGTTTCCACGTGTTTTGGAATAACGAGATCATAAGAACCGCTGTCAGAAGGCTGGGGAGATCTATTTTTAAGAATAAATATATGTGCGTTTGAACAGGTGTGGAGCTTCTCCTCCAGACAATGAGTTTGGCTCACCTCTCCATACTCGCAGTAAACCAATGTGCTTATTCAGACGGGCTATTTATGTCGCCGCGGTTAGGTCAGCTGCATGGGGAACATTTGTAACAATGCTTCTCAGGAGGGTGACTTGCTACTTAAAACACATTAAGTATTGAGTTTAATTATTTGAAATACATGTTGAATGGGTGCGATGTAGAAAGTTCCACACTCCCTCCTCCTGCCTGGCTACAATCCCATTCTTTCCAAGTCCTTTCAAAGGGCCAGCTGCACATACAGCCATATCTACACCTCTGCTGTATATGGTTACCACCCAAAGTCATGCTTCTGTTTAAGATCTGCCAACATATCCAACATCATGGTGCTGTGTGGCTGTTCCTTGCGTCTTCACATTGAGCAGTTGACCTCACAAAAGGATTAGGAACGAGACATTAGAAGAGGAGAAAGTGAAGAATACCATCTGGTTAAAGAAAGGCACTGACTGGAAACCCAGAAAGAATGTACATGTATGAGGGTTGTCATGGCAGAGGTATTAAACGTGTATTTGCTTTAATGCGTGCGGTCAGTCCCCGTCTGGGTAGAAAAGGAAAATACCACAGCGGCAGGAATGCTGCGGGTGCTGGTTTCAGCATTAGGCAGCAACATTAAGCCAAAGCCCAAAGCATGCTACCAACACAGCGTCTCAGGGGCAAGCTTAGCACCTTTAAATCAGCCTGCTCAGATTCGGAAGAAAAGCCATCATCAAATCTACATACAGTAGGGGCAATTTAAATCATGCGTGACCTTGTTAAAATCATTCACTTTTTGTCAAATATATCAATTTGTTCAAAACTGCTTAGTATTAACTGTAATTCAATATAAATTCAAAACACATTTGAGTTGACCTTTTTGTTGTCAAGCACCCAGAGGTCATGCACACGTCTTACCTCTCGATTATCCCTGAGGAAGAGATGGGATTGGCAGCAAATTCAGTTCTGGTACTTTGAAATCCAGACAAAGACAAGTTCAATCATCCTCCCACAACCATAAGCACACTTAATACAGCCCTGTCCATCATGTGACTACATATCTCCTCTGTGATTGGTTGGGATTGTCAGTTCTATTGTTGGAGGCAGTTGATGAGTTACACCTGGATAGGAATGCTGCCTTTAAGGGCACCTTGTAAACTGGTACATTCGAGGACTGACATTGGAAATACAAACTCCACCTCAAGGTATTGTTCAGTTGGTACAATGTTGCTGATTTTCTTTGAAATCAAACTGGCAGAGACGCTATGTGTTGCTGAGGTCGAAGTAGGCTATATGTAGGCTACAGTAGAAAGGGCCCACAACACACTGATTGTTACGTAATTCCTGACAGCAGAAGAATAAAACATGTGTTTTTGTAAAATTCATACTTTTCATATATGTTGTCTAACTTGCAGGGAAAAACATATATTGTATTTGGCACCAAAAAATGCTGAAAATCAACTCAAATATTTTTAAATTGTCTTAATAGTAAGTTATTTCATAAGAAAGTAAATTAAAAAATGATGGTAATTTTTTTTACACAAGTCTATTAACTCCCATTGACATCCAGTTAACTCTCAACATACCAAACTTAGCCACATTAACAGTTAGCTAGCTCAGAAAACCAAAGTATTCTACCACATATTACAAAACATACTTGACTCATTTTTCACATTTCCCACTCAGGTGATATTCCCACACTTACCTCAATGTACTGCTCAATTCCCCACGTAAAATGCAGCCGAGAAGCGTCCTCCTCTTCGAGCTAACATTAGCAGTTAGCCATGTTTTCCCCATTACATTTATATTGTTTCATAAAAAGTATCCCGCGGCTGGTGTGCAACACTTTGTTTAGTCCCATGACCGCAGTATCCGTCTTTCAGAAACACAATCCTCTGCTAATTAGCGCTAACCACAGCACCTGTGGACAGCCAATCAGAATGCAGCAGGGTCAATCAATGCCTACCATTTTTGTTTTTTTATCACTAAAGATTTATTTAGGATGGCATAGCGTTGTTTTCAGGACCTGAAGGCACCTGACACAGATAATTGTTGTGGCCCTGTTCCGGAAAGTGGAATAAAAACACACATTTCAAAACTATCCTATCAGACAATGATATAGGGTAGTTTTGAAAATTAATGAACGTTTCTGAGTAGGCTACAGTACTACACTACACTTTACAGTTTGTTACTTAACAGATTAGAGCTGTGTACCTTTGCTTTCAATTAAAATCCCTGTATCTACAACTGTTGAATATTTGTGATAAACTGAGGGATGATATGTTTCTTTAAGGGTTGAGTAAATTCTCCTACTTTGAAAGCAAATTCAACTACTTTAAAATCCTCTTGGATCAAGTCGAGTTGCACCATCACAAAGCAGTTTTTCTGAGCTCATGAGAAGTTGACAGCGAGAAACATATGATCTTGAGACAGTGCTTTAGAACCACCTATATGCTAAATATGAAGGAGTTAACAATAGCACAACCTTAAACAAAATAGGTCTTTTCAGTATGAAATGCAGTCTTAGTAAAATGATGGAAGGAAACTTAACCATGTGGAATACCTCAATGTCTTTATTGCTGTTTTTGAGTGAAGCGTACAATGTTTAAAACATTCATCCAGTTGGAAACTGCCCATTTGTATGACATTGGGAGTGTTTAGAGAGGCTACAGATAGTGTGTTTTGCATAGGCTTCGCGCTACACAAACAAGTGTCTGGTTAAACATGGAAGAACTTTAAAAAACATAAAATGGACACAAAGGTTGTAAAAAACAAAAACAATACGGCATAATGAAACCGCTGTATTTAAAAAAACAACAACATACATGTCACATTAAATCACGCTTGAAAATGTTTTGGTCAAGCTCCCCTGCTCTTTTCAGGAGCCATGGAATGTGATTGTCACACTTTTGAGCAGTAACATCAATTTAATGCCCCGGCAAATCGTTAATATTATCAAAGCTTGTGCCGCGCAAAAACTATAAAAGGGAATGTGCTACTTAAGACCATGTAAGTGAAAGATAAGCAGGAGAAATCACAAGTCTTAATATTATACGGCGTTGCTTTGAGGCTATCATGTACTGTACCTCAGCTGTCATAAATGTGTCCATTGCAATCATATGCCAGAAGACTTACATAGTGGTAAATATCCTTGCATTGTACTAGTATCTTGCTATATGCTTAGGCACCCTGATTTTACTTCGTATGCCCTCAATGATCGCTGAGCATAAGAGTGTGCATAGAGGCAATAGAGAAGTTAGTAAAAGTTAAGGTAGATAAAAAAAAAGTGGGTTGGAATGCCGATTTCCTACATTGTAAAACCTACAGCGAAGGCACCGTGTGCAGCTGCTTCTTAAAGAGGAATGTTTGAAGATTTTAAAGTGATCAAACAGGTACAAAAGCTACAAACACAGCTATAGAAAAGGACAAAACACATTAAAACATAAATAAAATGACATGAAGGATAATAAAAGTCATAATGGCCTTCTGAATATTCAACACTCCTATCACCACCGAAATTAACTGCCTTGTTGGTGAATACAAAATAAGCAAAAAAGACCTTTTGTTGCGAGTATAAAGATGTTATATAAGATACAGTATGATATTCAAAACATCACATGTGCTAACATATATTACTCAGACCATTGCTGCACTATTGGTAAGACATAATAAAAGTGAGATCAGCTAAAATCTACAAGTGCTTATATTTCTATCCTGAACTGGTGAACGTTGAATAAAATAGCAATGTGTGAAGCTTTTGCTTTAAATATAAATAAAATAGGAGATGGAAAATGAACTGTGGGAGGGAGAGAACGGATTTCAACCATCTCTTTGGAATGTGGAAACTACTCCGTCTCTATCAACCGTCGGCATGGAGAACAACACATAAATCTAAATTTAATTAGGTTTTTTTCTTCCTGGCAGGATCGTATAGAGTAATTAGTAATAGTAATTACAAATGTCCAAATTTCACAGCATTTTGTTTCTTTTAGAAAGCAAAAATCATTGTGCAAAGGCACTACACGTGGCGACCGTACAAAAATATGATGCTGTTTCGGTACAGTGCGTGGACAGCGTGTCTCCTGTCCCTCCGTTTTCTGGGGTGGTCATTTTTTGGTTCTTAAGAAAAAGTCAAAGGAAGAGTCTTGGATTGTCGTGGTCTCCAGCTTTAGTGGCTCCTTCATGACATTAGTGTCCCATACCTGGAGAAAGAGGAAAAAACCAGTCCATCAGCGGCTTCACTCTGAGTCTCAGACAGCTGTGGGTTAACAACTCTGACCTTTCCGACACACAGAGCAACACACACCACGTGCAGCGCAGTGTCAAGGTGCCATGTTTACTTTAATTAAACGTCAACAGAATCAAACTTAAAAGGAAAAAACATCATATCTTTTCATTATCTATTTCAAAGAATCTAAATAATTATACTTTTATTTCCTTTTTCCTGGGTAGAAAATCTTAAAATAACTTTATTAACCAGGGAACAACACAGAGGGATATTCTGGGGGTGTTATCTTGACTGACTGTATTTGGCTGCCCCACTTTAGCATCACACAGACCCTCAAAACTCACATTTAGAATGTTAAGGCTCTAAGAGATTAACAACATGGAGATAGACAAAAAATAAATCATTCGATTAGTCTGAAAACCTTGAAGCGTTACAAAAAAAATGTACGCAAGTAAATCACTGCACTTTTGGAAAATTGTCAGACTTCATGCCAACAATTCAGAAACTTAGCTGAGACGACGTTATTTTTTTAAGCACTGTAATACAGCCGAGCATGTGGAGCGTGTGGCTGCTAACGCGCATGTGGTCCTGTGAGGTGTCAAATGTCTGTAAGGTCCCGCAGCCAACTATGAGCACTAAATACAAAATCTATACAAAGCCTCTGTCATCCTCTGAGTCAGAGTGTGATGGTGTGCTAATCTCCAACATACCAGCTATTAATGTGACAGACACGCTTGGCAGGAGCGCTGCAGCGAACACTCACACAGGAGAGGCCGGGGTGTGAGCAGTGGACTACACACTGAAGTGAATAAGCTGAGAGGTTTAAGTGGCGTCAAGGTGGCTGTTGAGCATGTCTACAGAGTGTGTATCTATGTGTGTGATGCTGTGTCCTTAACAGCCAACACATTGCTCAGACATGTAAAGAATCCCTCAAGGCCAAAGCCCCTCTTCTGTCTGAGGAGGAGGAGGAGGAGGCTGCACTCACGTCTGATTTCAAAATAGCAAGCAATGTTAAAGTGGCATCCTAGCACGCTGCGGAGCAAAAGGCCAAACGGCGATCTGAAAAAGACTACAGGCGAGGCCATGGAGGGTCGGATATTGGTTTTGTGACACATGGTGTCGTATAAATCAAAGAAGCGGTGACAAGATGACAAGAAGGTCACACCTTCCTCGGGAGAAATGTACTGTTTTTGCTGAAGTGCTTTGTACGGAAGCACTAAGAGGAAAATGAGAGGGAAACAATCTGTGTATTAATGACTTGAGCAGGTTTCTCAGGAACATCTTTCTAAATTACTCAGTAAAAATCATGTGATGTTACAAAATAAGTTTGCAGATTTGTTGTAGTCTGGCACATTTAAATATTTTTTTATTGTAATCTTATTTCAGCCACAAGAGGCGGCAGTGCAACACTTGCCTATGTTTCTAATCAAGTGAGATCAAAGTAAATAGCTTTCAAGATCTAAATAGTTTTCTCTACCGAGTTTTAAAAAGGTGACTAAACATTTTGGCAGGGTATTTTCCTGTAGTTGTCCGGATGGTTTTTGTTCAATAAAGAAATGATGAATCTAAATCACAACTCCAGAGCTTGATAAAAAGGGCTGGAAAAATAATTGGCATGCTTCAACCATCCTCTCTTCAGGAGATATTTGAGGAGATGGTGAGAAAGCAAGGCCGTAAAATCACATGCGACCCCAAACACATCCTGTATAGAGAGTTTGAGTTGCTGCCCTCGGAGCAGGTATAAGTATAAGTTTTCCTTTGTTCCGCTGTCAATCAAGCTGCTGAACAGTCAGAAACAATTGTGATTACGCTGTTAGGAGTTGTTGGGAGGTGCAATGTTTACAGTGTAGTTTGAGCAATCGAGAAGGTTGAATAGGGAAAGTGCAATATTTGATTATGTATAAATACAATAGGGAAAAGTGCAATATTTGATTATGTATAAATACAATAGGGAAAAGTGCAATATTTGATTATGTATGTGCAATAGGGAAAGTGCTGTACCTGTATGTTTCTTTGCCATGTGATACGTGATCTCTGTTCTGTATCTATGACTGATTGACCTGAATGTTTTATGTGTATTATCTCGATGCCCAAGACAAATTTCTCCTAAGAGACAATAAAGCTCTATCTTATCTTATGGACTTCTTTTTACATTTTCCTTAAGAGTAACATATTAGAGAAAACTTAAATCTGAAAAAGGCCTCTCAGGGCTTCCGTACATGCACAAGCTCTAGAGTTACACGCTGACGCTTCTGGTACTTTATAAAATCTCACCGTTGGCGACTGATTTGGTCTCCCCTCCGCCTCCCACCTGCAAAACAAGAAGCCAAGAAGGTCACAAGGCAGCAAGTATGAAAAGAGATGCAGAAAGCAGAAGATAGCTGCAAAGCCTCCAGTCAGAGCAGCGAGTGCTTCCGCCTATACGAACACTGAACCAGTTCTCCATCCTCCATCTTTACCCTGCTCGTCTCTCCTTCCCTGACATCACAGCATAGCATGGTTAGGTAATGATGAGGTTGCTAACCGCTACCTTTCCTGTCCAGGGCCCTTTCTACGTCAGTGCAGACCACCGCCTTGTGCCCTCCAACCCAACTACTCACTGTGGCGGACCACAGCCTCCGGTCTGGAAACACACTTCACCAGAGAGGAAGGTTTCTAAAGTGAGTGGGTTGGTAGGACTTTTTTAAAAGTGCTGTCTCACTTCTACAAATCAGCTCTACAAACAGTTTTATCTTTGTATATAAATAAAGATAAGACCATTTATTCATAGTCAGGTTTAGTCCAACTTGTTTAAAAATGTGAGGTGATAACAGTCTGTCAAGTCATTGTGCAACTCAGCAAGGCGTCTTAATTCTAAAGAAGGCTGTAAATAGTTTTCCATTAGGGCCATATAACGGCAAGTGGAGTTGGACTGAGCGCAGTGATTTGTGGTCGTCATAAATAGGAGCGGTGATGTGATACAGCCATTTGTGAAAAGCAGGCGCTCTGTTTTCTTTTACAACACAGAATTAACCCTCAACTGTAATTCTCTGGATTTTGTTGAGTGGGCTTTAACAAGTTAGGTTGTTAATAGAGTCAACAGCGTAATGGTTTTAAATGAGCTTTGCTACGGCTTTGTTGATATGTTCCCTTTCATCCTTTAATGTTACAGCACTTGGAACATTTGGCACACATGCTTTACAAGTTTATTCCTTAATGAAAGCATTTTGGAGAGCAGTAAACTGCTCAGTATTTACAAAACGCAGACAATTACATCCTGTTAAATGTTGTGTTTGTGTGTGAAGAGAGTATTCAGGAACACATTTTTCAAATCATAACTAACTAACTGTGGACCGAAACTCTTAGATATTATCATTTTAATTGAATCAAGCAGTAGCCTCAAACCAAAGCAGAGCGGAGCGCAGCTTGCCAACAACACAGATCCAAAAGTTGACAGCAGAAGGTGAGGTCATTCTGTGATAAGCGCTTGGAAGCAACGTGGAAAAATTACACATTTACCTCTCCAGGCTTATTCCAGATTTAAGGTGGAGGTCAACTAGCTATCAGAGATCTTTTAAAACAAGAACAAACACAGATGATTGTTACTCCCATGACACCAAGGTCAGAATCGTGAGATTATTTGAATATCCCTACACCATCTTTTGAACAAAACGATCTTGTGATTGACGTCTGGAAAACTATGAAAAACCACGGGAAATCCTTTCAAGACCACAAAGGGGTAGTTAAAACTTCATCTGGAGGCTGACTTGGATTTCCCCCGCTGGTTGAGACTGGTACTCTGATCAGCGAACACATTCCTCATCATGATTCTTGAAATGAATCATAGCTACCTTGGTTGGAGAGGCACCTTTGTTTTCCCATAGACTCCTCTTGTTGGTGACGTCCACAGGCTTCAGGTCCTGTCAGACACACACAGAAAACAAGAGGCCAAGACAAAGCATCATATCAGCGGTGCTCAGAGTGCCCTGCATTTGTCATTTTGGCAGAGTGTCTGGGATGTAGAGGAGGGCGAATGACAGAGGAGGACAGAGAGCTTCAGGAGCAAAGGTTGACACTGTCAAGCAGTTTGGAGGAAGTGGAAAACAGCACTCTTCACTGAGAGTCTAGGCAATTGTTTGTCAATCAAATGCAAAGAAGTATTCAAAATAATCTAAAAATGTTGTCAAAAGATTTCCACTTTTTTCCTTTTTACTTTAAAGGAAATATTCATTTGTTGTACTTTCACTTTAAAAAAAAACATTTCCTTTCATATCATCAGCTATGGTAAATTACTTATTTGAGCACAAGCCATAATCTGTGACATGGAAAGCTGTAACATAAATATTTGGGTAAAATATCGCCTAGAGTGAAGAGAGGCATGATATACACACTGAAAAACCCCACTCTGCTGGTAAAGCTTATGATCGGCTGGAGATAAAATGCTTAAGTGACACTGTATAGTAAACTGCTGCCAAGGCTACAGTGTCCACATGTACTGTAAATGTATATTATGACAGATGTAAGAGTGGACTGAACACACACACACACACACACACACACACACACACACACACACACACACACACACACACACACACACACACACACACACACACACACACACACACACACACACACACACACACACACACACACACACACACACACACACACACACACACACACACACACACACACACACACACACACACACACACACACACACACACACACACACACACACACACACACACACACACACACACACACACACACACACACACACACACACACACACTTGGTGGCCACCAGGTGGTGCCAGACAGATAATATCTCAACCTGACCAATGGATTGGAAATAAGATTATAAAAAGGTTCAAAATTAAGTCCTACCGACAACTGATTGGGGGAACACGATGACAATTAACTCGATCTTTGTCTGATAGCCAATAGAAACATGCTAGCTTGTCCCACAACTATATAATATATAAACTGCAACCCCTGGTGGACGACGGGTTGCCAATGGAAGTAATCGTTGTTGAACAAGTATCCTGTTAGCATTGTGCCCTTATTGTTTTTCCTGGTGGTTGCAGTTTAATGAATATGTGCATGTCTCTATCATATGCCTACTTTAAATCAGTGAGAAGAGCACAGAAAAAAAGGAAATCAATATATACTATATCTCTCTTGTGAAATATAACGTTGCACATGGTTTCTGAGCTCTACAGTACATGCACTGTGCTTCCTGAGGCAGAGACAGGGGTTGCTACGGTGACGACCTACCGTTGGCCTTCCTCCTGCCGCTTTGCCGCTCTCCGGGGTTTTATTCAGCCAGTCGTTAATGCGACCCGCCACGCCTGTCTTCATCACAGCTGCTTCCTGTTTGGATAGGGTTAAAGGTCAGCTGAGCCTGTTCGTCATCAGCAACGAGGCCGAGCAGGAAGTGGCCGTGCATTGGGCTCTTTCCTCTCTCTCTCTCTCTCTCTGCTCCAGTCACTCACAAAGTTTCATTAACTCTCCTCCCACACCTCGTCTCTTACCTTGAACGGGCTTCCCCCGTTTCCAGGTGTGCCGAACACGTTGCCCTTCTCCCACATGCTCTTGATGCTCCGGATGCTGTCGGTCACCATGGGGAGATCCACGGCTCCGGAGCGAGGGGACCGGGACTCCTTGTTCTCTCTCTGCAGGGACAGAGAAGTGGGATTACATTGGTGGCAATCAGGGGTGTCTGTGCTGATCAAGCTGTTTATTTCTTTTTAAACAAACCCACAAGAGCTTGACATTAATGCAACTTCTAGACCTAGAATAGCAGTAATTATTTTTTAGCATACAAGCACTGGAATCAGATCAGATAAAAGGTTTTTGGTTAACATACATGCAAGGCAAGGCAAGGCAAGTTTATTTATATAGCACTTTTCAACACAAGGCAATTCAAAGTGCTTTACAAAAAATGAAAGACATTAAGAAAATGGCATTTAAAATCAGTCATTAAAAAGAAAAGATAATAAAAGAAACATTAAAAGAAAAAATACATGGATAAAAGTTACAGTGCAGTTTAAGATATGAATAGTTCAATTAAACATTAAAAGAAAAAGTACATGGATAAAAGTTACAGTGCAGTCTAAGATATGAATAGTTCAATTAAACATTAAAAGAAAAAGTACATGGATAAAAGTTACAGTGCAGTCTAAGATATGAATAGTTCAATTAAAAGCAGCGACAAAAAGAAAAGTCTTCAGCCTGGATTTAAAAGTAGTCAGAGTTGCAGCGGACCTGCAGGTTTCTGGGAGTTTGTTCCAGATATTTGGAGCATAATAACTGAACGCTGCTTCTCCATGTTTAGTTCTGACTCTGGGGACAGAAAGCTGACCAGTCCCTGAAGACCTGAGAGATCTGGATGGTTCATAATTTAGCAGGAGGTCAGAAATGTATTTTGGGCCTAAACCATTCAGTGCTTTATAAACCAGCAGCAGTATTTTGAAATCTATTCTTTGACACACAGGAAGCCAGTGTAAAGACTTCAGAACAGGAGTGATGTGATCCACTTTCTTAGTGTTAGTGAGGACTCGAGCAGCGGCGTTCTGAATCAGCTGCAGCTTCCTAATAGATTTTTTAGTGAGACCTGTGAAGACACCATTACAGTAGTCCAGTCTACTGAAGATAAAAGCATGGACAAGTAAGAGTTTTATTATTTCCTAATGTATTTTCAGCTAGGAACCACTCACATTTTTTATATTAAAAGAAGAAATGTATTATTTTTTAACATTAATGATAAGAAAGAGTTTCCTTTTTTACATCCTCCTGATAGTCACTATACAGTTTATTTAAATGTGAATATATATGTAATTTTAACATATCTAGGAGTAAATTGTGTTTGTTTATGTGTTCCTGCAAAAGTCTTAGATAAGTCTATTATAAAGTTATAATTTCACACACCTCTTGTGCATTCCCAAGTGAAATAGGGCAAATGTTTTGCTTGACATGGATATACAAAGTGAGTAAATACATGTTTCACTGTAGTGGACGCCACACTGCTTCTTATTGAACAGTGTAAGACAGTGGTTCTCAAGCTTTTTTCAATAATGTACCCTCTTTGAAAAAAATATTCAGCCAAGTACCCCTGATCAGCGCAAACACAATTTGTTAGGGAAAAAATGCCTATATAAAGAGGTACAGTGCAGCGCTGCACCATCAGAGTCTGATTTATTAAAACAACAACATTGTAACTGAGAAACACTTAAATGCTACATTTAAAATATTTACAATCCATCACTAAATTCATGGCAAACCAATTTTAACATCATGCAATAACACTGAGACGACATAAGTTGCATTGAACTGATCTTTTTAAAAAGTTGCAATTACAATGTAGTGAGAAACATGTGGCTGTGCTTCACTGAGGATCTTTGTCATTCTGACAGGAGGCAAACTGCAGTTATTACACTTCGCGTTTTGAAATATGTGTAACTCTGTTCATATAAAACTCACACTGCTCAAACTTCCTTACTTATCCTAAAATTGGTATATTTATTTATTTTGGGGCGTGGGGAATGAAGAGAAAAAATATAGTAGCATTTTATGAGCATGGGATTTTGACCCCTCATATAAACATATGCATAATGCTGCGCTATACTTTGCGGCCACACGCCGTTGCCAAGCAACGCTTATTGTTTAGGTGTCCTTTGATAAGCAGGCAGTTTTATAATTAACTAGATTTAGCTAGATCTGATAGATTTGGACATAAACGCGAGTGAAGTCTAACCGGACGCAAGAGAGGGATCAGAGATCAGATCAGCTGCTGCTGACGGAGAACACGCAGCTCTGCATGATCACAGCTCCGCCGGTGAGTGGAGCAACATTAAATACACTAAGAGTTAGACCTAACACACTTAGCTAGTTTATCTACTCTGGAACTAGCTAAACTAGTTATAAATATATGTATTCTTTACTGTCGGGTCACTTATTAGAGGTTCAACGAGCTGCACGAGACTGACGGGCTGTCAGGAGAGGGAGAGGAAAAGAGAGCACCCCGTTTATTGTTCCCATTTTATTATCCAGAATTACTGTAAACCTTTGAAGAAAGTAGTTCATCTACTATTAGTAGTTTGTTTAAATGCATTACTTATGTGTTTTTTTTCATTAACATAAAATAAATCTCACGTACCCCCTGCAGTACTCCAACGTACCCCTAGGGGTCCGCGTACCCTCATTTGAGAACCACTGGTGTAAGAGATGCTAACCTGAGCAGCAGAGGTGTACTGCTCCAGCCTGTTGTCTATCTTGGACACCAGAGGAGAAGGAGACGCCTTCACTGTGCTGCTGGGCAGAAGAAAATAGTTAGCATAAACAGCATGGGACCACTTTGAATATTATACTCAAAGTTGGAATTGAACTCAGGGTTAGATTTGTTTTTAATACCACATAACTGTGAGGTTTACATGCACCACTAGAAGCGTTGTTAGAGGGAGAAAACATGAAGTGTCAATATGTTTGTACCTCTTCTGTGCAGATTTGTTCAGGAACTCTGCCCTCTCTCCAATCTGTGGAGAAAGGTTATTACAGCTCCAGGTTAATAAACACAGCAGTGATGCTCAACACACGCATACAACAACATTTCCTTAACTCGTCAGTAGCCGTAAAACAGATGTTAAACTTCCTCTTGTCCTTCTATTGTGTCTTAAAGGGGCCCTATATGCTCATTTTCAGGCTCAAATGTGTATGTTGTGCCTCTACTGCGACATGTTTTAATGTTCAAATAGGTCTTTATTGTTCATACTGCCTGTGCTGCAGCACCTCTTTTCACCCTCTGTCTGAAACCAGGGCCCAGTCTGCTCTGATTGGATAGCTGGCCGAAGCACGATTGTTATGTACTGAAGTGTAGTGAAGACAGAAGTAAACAAAGGTGTCCAATGAATCTATAGAACATACTACACGAAAAGGAAAAAACCCCAAAACCATAACAGGGCCTCTTTAACTTTATTGTAAGGAATCCCTAACTTTAGTTTAGTAGTCAATTTGTAGAAAAACCTATGATGTCTGGTCATAAGATGATTCATAAACTAAATAATTGTTTATGCTCAGTGGACTAAGACAGACCACATATTTTAAAAGGTTAATATATATTTTCTTTAAATGGACAAAAAGTAATCTTGTACCCTCCATGTGCAACATGCTCTCAAATACGTGCAGACACACACAGACAGGAACAAAAATGCAAGTTCTGCTGTGAGACTGTGGGAATCTCAGAGGATTGTTTATGATATACGAAAAGAGGCTACAAGAGGGGGCAACGCATGCGTTCCTCAGGCGCTCACAACCCTTTAAACGGACAAAAGGAGAAACTGCAGAAAAAGCTCCCCCCCCTCCTCCCTGTGAAAAAGGGACCTTGCTGCTACCGAATGTGGGAGTTCCCAAAATACTCCCCGACAGGAAATTCCCCATTCTCAGATGCATTTTAAAGAGCTGCAGCCATCCGAACGCAGTTACAGTAACCCTGTTAACCATAATCGCTTTCCTGCATCCCCCTGTCCTTCATTCTGTCCCTCCGCCCTTCTCTCACAGGGAACACTGTACTTTATCTAATGTACGGAGCAGCGTTATATGCTGGGTTACAACTGATAACATGTCGGCAAGCTCCCGGGACTTTGTGTTCCAATGGGAGGTGATTGCTGATAGTGAGGCATATTCCCCCACTGTAACCAGAGCCACGAGTTGTCCCACAAACTGAACAACGTCAAAAACATTGTATGTTCCGAATAGCATGGATAACGTTTTTAAAGAACTGCAGAAGCTGGAATACAAACATTTTAGATTTACATGAGAAATACAAATGTTTATTTGGCACTACCAGCATGAGACACGTTTTAAAGATGCCCATATCAATATTTGTCATGTCAACATTACTCTGTGAATGTTATTACTTTTAATAATGAAACTACAGATAATAATCAGCCAACTCTGCAGTTCTCTTCTTTTTTTATAGCATCTTTCAGCTCACTGTTTTAGTTATGTCTGTTGGTACCTGTACATGTGGTTAAATATGTAAATTGTAATCCCTGTACATTTTGCTGTATGATGTCCTTTTGTTGTTCTGTTGTTTATATTTTTATGTCTTCTTGTGGAACCTACTGCTGCAGGTCTCCCTTGAAAAAGAGATCATTGATCTCAATGGGATTTTACCTGGATAAATAAAGATTTTGAATTGAATTGAATTGAATTGAATTGAATATGGAAGTGCCAACAATTGCAGTTACTTGAATGGCCACTCCAAAAAACCTGTCTTTGGCTCGCTACTTTCCCTGTTGGTGACAAGTATACAAGCTGACTTTTTAACTCATTCTTATAAGCTATGTTACAACTTAGATATTAGGGGGTGTGGCCGCTTTGAGTGACAGGTGTGTGCAATAAAAAGTTTCTAACTGGGCCTTCCTCAGTTATCCATTTTCATTCGTATTTGCCAAAATGGCGCACTGAGCATCAGAAACTAATGGGACTAAGTTGATGTTTTAAACAGTCTTTATTGTTTTGCTTATTCTTGCCACTTACATTAACTCATCTGTTTCCATGAAAAAGCTCTCACAAAACAACTGTAAGCTACTGTACCTACCAAATTCATATTTTGTGAGCATTTAGAAGCTAAATAGCTGAATATGTAACTCAGAAGCTGGTAAGACCAAGGTGAAAATGTACTTTATATTCATCAAGGGATGAAAATCAATAAGTAAATGCACTAAATAAATAACCACTTATTTGCTGGCAGATTAGCCATATCAACTGTTTCGGTCATTTGTGTTTGTAGCTTCCACTAAGTGACAACAAATAATCAAGTTGTCTTGTTTTCCCTTATTTTTTATCAAATGTTCTCATTAATCTAAAAGCTATTATCTCAGATGTGAAAATGTCCCCTTTTCGCTGTAGAGTATGATGACCTCAACTGAAGTTGGAAGATATAACAAATACTGCAACTGTATCATCACCTGGTAATACAACGACACACACACACACACACACACACACACACACACACACACACACACACACACACACACACACACACACACACACACACCACACACACACACACACACACACACACACACACACACACACACACACACACACACACACACACACACACACACACACACACACACACACACACACACACACACACACACACACACACACACACACACACACACACACACACACACACACACACACACACACACACACACACACACACACACACACACACACCCACACACACACACACACACACACACACACACACACACACACACACACACACACACACACACACACACACACACACACACACACACACACACACACACACACACACACACACACACACACACACACACACACACACACAGCAGTACCTACAGTGAACATCACCACAAAGTAGAGCTGTGTCTGAGAGGCGAGTGCATTGGGGTGGAGAATGACAGTTGAACATTATTTACAAAAGTAACCACAAACAACAAGCCGAGCTGAGCCTCTCGTATGGATTCTCAGCGGGACGGTCCAGATGGATATTACTGCTAACTGTCACTAATTAGATTTTCTCCACTGGCTGAAAATCCCCCTCGATTTTCACTGTGTGGGAGTTGGCTTTTGGCAACACTGGAGACATTTATTCACAAATGAGTCGATTAAACGTTCCTCGGCCGTGACAAACATTTATCTTCGAGTGACACGGGGAGGGGTTGATTCATTTTTCTGGGTTATTATGACATAGAATTAAAGTGAACAGTGAAAGGAAACTTGCCAGACTTTCCCACATCTCTTTTAGTTCACCGAGGCTCTTTCTATTCCTAACTCCCTCATCTCGTCAGAAAACCCTTCATGCAGAGAGCTAGAGAGGTGAGGGGGGCAGATGCGGGTCATCTGGCGCTTGATCTCGCCAAATATTTTGAATATTTAGCTTGAGCTTTGCTGCTCTGCCGGATGAGAGGGATTTGCAGCCGTTATATTGACTCCATTAAAACCGACAACTGCATTGGACGGGATGCAAATACAGACAGAAAAAATACAGCACAGGAAAAGAGGATTACTGTCTTAATACTTTAAAGTATCGTGATGAAACACCTGTGTTTATTTAGGGTATTCATTTATATTGTATGTTAACGTATATTAAGATGTAAAAAATATAGGTAAAAACAAAAGGGAGAAGGGGTCGGATTAAATAAGTGTAAACTTCTTCCGACCCCTTTTCGGACGTGTAATTATCTAAAGTTTTTTATTTTTTTTATTGTTATCAGACAATGATACTACAGATTATTCAATTATTATTTAAATATTTCGTTTTGTTATTGCATTCATTTGTATAGTACTGTATCATCTTTTGTTTCATTTGTATTTTCTTTGGTTTTACATGCTCGAAAAAAATAAATAAATGAAGGGCTGACTGATCAATTGCATGCCTGTCAAGCTTGACATTCCCCTACATGTTGACACATTGCAAGAGGTTGTTTAGAGAAATATGTAATGGCAATAAAAAGCATTACATTAGTTGGGATGGTTGTGTTTTATTGTTTGTCTGCTTTAACACAAACTGCAATCATTAGCAACCATCACTAATTTTAATAGAATATTCATTTATTTATCGTGTCTCTTGACGGAACTTTGGGATTTTAGCCTTTGCAGAATATGTACACGCCCAAAACCTACACAACGCACTACAGTTAAGGGAAAACCCAAAAAGCTAAAAAAGGCACCTTTAAGAAAATAATATTACTAGGACTAACTAACTGAAATCTTATTTTCACATTTTCTTTACGCAGCATCCACCGATGAGACTGCTAAGTGGCTAAACTAAAAATATATCACCACAAAAACTAGGATGCATGAGGGTTAGGGAACGGTCATTTGGCAGATAACACCGGACGGACACTCTCCTGTTGGACGCAGGGCAGAGGGGGGGGGGCTAAAGTGGCGGACTGACCTTCAGAGAGGAGCCTCGAGGGCTGACGCACTTGAAAGGCCGGCCCTCCTCGTCCATGTCCTCCACCTTCTGCCTCTTCTCAGCTGCCTCGGCTCTCCTCCTCTCAATCTCCTCCTTCATCTTCCGCTTCTCCTCCTGAGAAGAGACAGATGTGTTTTGAGTTGTTCAGCTGTTGCACATCTGATCGCAATACGAGAAAGAAATTAAGTGGTAATCCATCATGTCATCTTTTATTTCGCACCATGAGTTGACAGGAGATTTCCAGTTCATTTCAGTGGAGCATAAGCAGGTGGCGCTCTGTTCTTTGGAAGCCTCGCCATGCAGGATATTGCTGCTTATGCTAACTGCTAATTTGTCTTGTATTTACTCCAAACATACCCCTGTTGCTGCGGGAAACCTGAAGTACACTTCCTGCGCGCCAGTGGATTTTCCCTGGGACCAAACTACCCAGTGAGTGCAAAGTCTTTTGAGAACTGGCTGAATAACTTTCATGTGCTCTATGGGCTATTATATTGAATAGCAGAAGCCACAAACATGATAGACAACAAACAATCTGTGACTTATTCTAATCCATTCCAATGAAGCTGGTCACCAAATTCAATTACTCAAAGCTAATTCTTATTTACAGGGATTGTCTGCCCCAGGGGAAACAAAAACACATTGGAAAGCTTGAGGCCTGCAGACTCTAATTTTTTTCCCCTCAAATTATTATTGTATGAATCATTTGTACTGTATTCAGAAGAGGGCTGGTGTTGGCAGTATATCAGCCCTCTCCAGCAGCCTTGTCTTGGTTAATTAGGCTCTCTGTATCTCTGGGCCATCTTTTAATTACAAACCAAAAGGCCTCATTAACATCACACAAGAGGAGAAGAACAGGGGCAGATAGCGAGAGGCGCGCCGCCACATTCAGAGCCAACATCAACAGAAGAAGAGCGGTCAGGGTAATGGGGAGAACGCAGAAGGGAAAGTAGACGACATGGCGTGGTTAAATACAGATGTGAGCACAGAAGGAAGGGAAGGTTATCACATTGTTTATACATAAGGAAGACTTCTTTGTAAGAGGAAGGAATGACATGCAGGAGTTACAAGTTGGGATCCCCAACAGGTCACGATGACAGTCAAATGTGACGCATTAGTTTCAGCCATCAACATGAAAGTGGTGGTGCAATCAAAAAAGAAATATTTAGATGTAACTAAAGAATTAAAATCAGAAAAGTAAGGCACAAAGGGACATTTACTTTCAGCCCTACAGGTGGGAATCAGTCCTGATTAGCAAGCTAAGCTAATTAGCCTCTGCCATAGACGTTTAAAGGGGTCCTATTATGCTCATTTTTAGGTTGTGCCTCTACCAATAGAAGCGCAAGTGTTACATAGTGGTGTCACTCTGTTACAGAAGTAAACAAGAGAAACTCCCTCTGGAGGGTCCACAGGGATTTTAGCCTTAGCAGACCATTTACATGCACAACAACCTATATAACATTACAGGAAAGGGAAAACCCCAGAAAGCAGAATAGGACTCTTTGAACTAGCTGGATTGTGCTCCAGTTTTTTGCACAGCATGGTAATTGACAGCATGTCTCCTAGCAACGCAGCCTCTCAGGTGTCATGTATGGGAAACACCCACACAAGTTGAGATGTTTTCACAAACATCTCTAATAAAATGTTTGATATGAAACACCACTGAAAACTAGAATGTCAGAAGGATGAAAGGGAAAAGAAACTTAGGCTGAGTTGAACTGATCAAACTGCATCCATAAAGTGAACTGTAAAGAGAAAACTCAAAGCGTCTCTTCCTCACCTCCTCTCTGGCTTTTCTCTCGGCGTCCTCCTGCTTCTTCTGCCTCTCCTCCTCCTCCAGCACCTTCTTCCTCTCCTCCCTCTTCCTCTTCAGGTCCTCCAGCTCGGCTTCGGCCTCCTGCTGCTTCTGCCTCATCTTCTCGAACTCCTCGCTCTCTGCGTCGTCACGGCGGCGCTTCAGCTCCTCCAGCTTGCGCTCGGCCTCCAGGCGGGCGGCGTCGTCCTGGTCGTCGGACGCCTCGGGGGAACGCACACTGCCACGGCTGGGACGGACACGGGTCAGAGAACACAGGTGTGGAACACGACATTCAGGTTAACGCTTGACATTTGATACAAGGTGAATATTTAAGCTGATATTGTCTCTTTCATGGACAAGCAAACACGCAGACAGACAAAAACAAGTGTGCAGACAAACAAATACCAAGAATCACCTTTGCAAAGATAATGTTACAGCATAGCTCAGGTTTCCTCCTGAGGGACTAACTGCAGGTGACTAAAACACTCCTGCTCTGCTACAGCTACACAAACAGCTTCTTGCTTGAAAATCAGTTTCAGACACTTTTTTTATAATTATTTTGCTTATGCCTCAGGCGATACTTCCATGCTTTTATACCAGCAGGAGCGACAAATAATAAATGCGAAATTGCAACATTAGTGAGTTCTTCCCTGGCTAAACTGAAGCTGTTCAGCATATGCAAACACTGTGAAGTGTTATGACCAACAGGAACATTTCTCCTGCATCGTGTCTTGGAAAAAGAGCCAGACTGCCATTGTATAGTTTAGGAAATACAGGATGTGTTATGTTTCCTTAAAAATGTAATACTTTTTGCCTCAATTTAATGCTATTAACTTCAAATCTCGTAGGAATTAGGGATCAGAACGATTAATCGAATATCCAAAATTATTCAGGTCTTCAAATATGAGAATATGAGTTATGAATATTTGTATTGTCCATCCATCCATCCATCTTCTCCCGCTTATCCGTGGTCGGGTCGCGGGGGTAGCAGTTCTAGCAGAGAGCCCCAAACTTTCTTTTCCCTGGCGACATCAACCAGCTCTGACTGGGGGATCCCAAGGCGCTCCCAGGCCAGCGAAGAGATATAATCCCTCCACCTGGTCCTAGGTCTACCCCTTGGTCTCTTCCCAGCTGGACGTGCTTGGAACACCTCCCTAGGGAGGCACCCAGGTGGCATCCTAACTAGGTGCCCGAACCACCTCAACTGGCTCCTTTCGACGCGAAGGAGGAGCGGCTCAACTCCGAGTCCCTCCCTGATGACCGAACTTCTCACCTTATCCCTAAGGGAGACCCATCTCGGCCGCTTGTATCCGCGATCTCGTTCTTTCGGTCATGACCCATCCTTCATGACCATAGGTGAGGGTAGGAACGAAAATGGCCCGGTAGACAGAGAGCTTTGCCTTCTGGCTCAGCTCCCTTTTCGTCACAACGGTGCGGTAAAGCGACTGCAGTACCGCTCCCGCTGCTCCGATTCTCCGGCCCATCTCACGCTCCATTGTTCCCTCACTCGAGAACAAGACCCCGAGATACTTGAACTCCTTCACTATTGTAATTTAATATATTTTTTTTTTTGGGAGGGGTGCCTAAGTTGATTACATATGATCAAATGGAATAATTCAATGTATACGACAGTGCCATAGCTAAGTGTGTTAGGTCTAAAGGTGTGTTTTGCTCCGCTCACCCGTCCCCCTCAGCGGGCAGAGCTGCAGGTGCTGGTCTCTCTCTCTCGCGTCCGGTTATACTTCACTCGTGTTTATGTCCAAATCCATCAGATCTAGCTAGTTCTAGCTACTGATATGGCTGCTGCCCCTCCCTACACACAGATCAGGCAGACTCAAACCTCATCTTAGGCCCAAATTCCAGCTGAGAGGGTCTTCTCTACAGCTGAGTAGACATGCTCATATTCTTAAAGAAGAATGAGTATTGAATAGCTGCATTCTGTGCATAGCCCTGTTATAGGTTGTTGATCTCTGTTGTAATAGGGTTACGTTATGTTGTTCGTGTATGATCCCTCTTTCATTTAAAACCAAGTTATGTTTTAAGCATGAAAGCTGTAGGCCTATAGCTGTCAACTGTTCAAACTGTGATCACCAGTTCAATACATTTGACAAATTCGACTTGGTTTCTATACTTATTTGAACATGTATTTATTTATTTTTCAAAAATGAATTATTATTATTTATTTTTTTGTATAAGAATTTCCATCCATCCATCTTCTCCCGCTTATCTGTGGTCGGGTCGCGGGGGTAGCAGTTCCAGCAGAGAGCCCCAAACTTTCTTTCTATAAGAATTTCCCACATTATTATTTCATTTTTTTAGGATATGTACATTTCGGTTAATCGGTTAACCGTTTTTTGGGGGGTCGAATATTCGAATATACATTTGCTTTCAAATTCCCATCCCTAGTAGGAATACATGTATTTTCCTCACAATGCTGGATATAGTATTTTGGAAAGCAACAGTGAGCCTTGTTCTGTTTTGTATCTTAATCTTTATAACTGAACTTTGAGAAAAGAATATTAGGTTACAGCAGTACGTTTTACACAACTCAGAAACAGCCACTGAGCGGTATACTTATTTCTTCATTTTTAATGCATATATTAGGAAAATTCATTTGACAGAAATTCAATAAATTGGAAAGCCAAGAATGTTATAAAAGGCTGCATGTTTTTTCAAGTATCTGTTTTTAGAATCAACTACTTAATTATTTAAAGTATGACTAAAAATGTTTCTTGTTGCTAATCTGTAATGGTATCAGCCAGGTTGGAGAATATTGTATTGTGCTGGCTTATTACTTCCTTATTGTTCCTATAATAAAAAAGGAGAATATATATGCAATTGGATTACATTTATATTTGTAGTCTTAATATTTTAGCAACATTGCTATTCAGGCACACATTCTTTACTCAAATTGGGACATGAACTTTGTTATTTAAATGATTCATCAGACCTGGCTATCCCCAATCTGGCCTCAGTGGAAACCCATGATGTCACTTGATGTGTGTGTGTGTGTGTGTGTGTGTGTGTACCTCTGGGTCCTCTCAGGTTTCCTGTGCTGTTTGGGAGCCTCCTCCTCGTGCATTCCTCCGTTCTGCTTCCTCTGCTCCTCCCTGTCCCTTCCTCTCTCATTCACCTGCACAGAAACACCCGGAACAGTGAGCAAGGATGCGATTGGTGGGCAGGCTGATTGTCATGTGACATTGCGGGATGTCCAATAAATAAAGAGAACACCCCAAACAAAAACAACACAGCAGAACATCACGTCACACAGCGTCCACTCCAAACTACTACTGAGACAGGATTAACTAACAGGTGGTCAGCATGGGAGTGTTATCAAAACGTCATTCAGCTCAAATAAATTAGAATTATTATAAATCGCAATGCGTTCACAGCCAGTCAGGATTTTAAAGCACCATATATATGATCAACCTGTAGCAGAGGGGACGTTTGCCTTACTGTTTATGGTATCTAGCCGTGGCCACTTTAACATGAACTTGCTGTAAATAGCTCTTTGCAACAATCTTAGATTTAGAAAGAACTCTTTGAGCACTGTTGTTTCCTACAACATCAAAGGCATCTTGAAACTGAGAGAAGCTATCTTTAAAAAAGTCACACACCTAAGCTGACTACAACATAAAATGCTTTGGTCATAAAGGAGTTTTGTTTTTGTAAGATAAGGTTACAGAAGAAATTAAATAAGAGTTTTACAGGCACAGCTTATGGGTTGCAGGATTAATTGGAGGTTTTTATTGATGCATTAAAACAGTTTATTGGCTTGCTTCAACTCTAAAGAACCTACTACATTATATCTTGGACAAGTTTGTGATTCAGTAGTCCAATTCCAATTTCCAATCTACATTTTCTTATTTTATCCCCTCATTTTAGGGGTTTAAAATAAAAATAAAACCTTGAATGATGTCATACATTGACTGAAGGTATACGCATGATATAATGGATTCATAATGTCCGATGCAGTAAACACAGTTATTAGTTTGAGTTACATTATGTCTCAGTGAGTATTTGGAGTGGAGTCAGTGTTATAAGTGTTGCTGCTCTCATTGCTGAGGTGGAAGACATGCAGAAAAAACACGGTGACCACGGAGACGTAGGCTCAGTTATCGCCAGTTTGCAAACGGTGCAAGCCACACTGTGACGACAGGGGGAGTCTGGGTAATTTCAGCGTCTGGCTCCGAAATAAACGACCAAATCAACAAGATGAAGATTTTTGTTGTGGTTAGATCTGGAGAATGTGTTTACTTATGTCTGTTAAGATGCATAAAGAAACTGAAGTTACCCAGAGATTGTCAGTGCTGTGCATCACACCTCTACTGTAAATCTTACCACAGGAGTTATACCTCATTATCCTCTGAATGCAGTATCTCAGAGACCTCATTGTCCTCGTCAGTAACATCTCTGAGACACATAGACTTATTCTCTGATGAATAATCTACATAATCATCCCCAGGTACCTCCTCAGCCTCCTCTGATGCTACTGCATTCTCCTCAGTCACTGAACTTGTTGACTTGACCTGGTTTGAAATCTCACTGACTACTGAATCTTCTTCAGTGGGTGCCTATGGGAAAGTTGTATATCATTTCTTTGAAAGAAAGATCAGTGATTGCCTAAAGGATGTGCATAAAGCAGTCAAAAAATGGATGACCATACCTCGTTTTGCATTTTAGGTTCTTCAGGTGATTCCTACAGAAACAAGCATGACATTTGCATGGACTATGAAAGATACATTAAACGGCTGAAAAAGGTGTATCAACATATTATGTTCCAACACTGCATTATGTAACAACCGGCCAAAATGTAACACATATTCACTTCATTATTAAAAGACCTACAATTCGGAAAAATCTGCCACATATTAGAAGAACAGCTTCTTTCCATCACCCCCATCCCACCACAACCACAATAACTGTTTATTTAGCATTTACGGTTATTTTTTTAGCATCTATTTATGAACACCCACTCATATTTAAATGTTGTTGTCAGTAAAATGTGTAAATATGTACATTTAAACTCCTTCTAGAGCAAACTTTGGGATGTTACGTATATAACACACTACAGGAAAGAGTAGACCCAAAAAGCATAATAGGGCCCTTTCATTAATTTTCTACAGAATGAAGGGAGATGTAACATTTTGCGTCAAAGCTGTTAAAAAAGCAGCAGATTATAACAAAATACAACCTTTATTAAATAATGAAGTGAAAATGTATAACATTTTGTCGGGTTATTACATAATGTGATATAAAATAGTGACTCACTTGGTCTCTCATGTAGGACCTCCTTGGTTTATCCTCCACCAGCTCCACTTTCTGCTCCTCCTCTTCATCCACACCTTCATCTGCCACCTCAGGAGCAGCCTCCTCCTCCTCCTCTTCTTCCTCCTTCTGCTCTCTCCTTGAGCTGTACGACTCCATCTTCTCCTCTTCATCCTCATTGTCACGGTTACGACCCCTGCGCGTGGAGGATGGCCTCTCCTCCTCTGCGTTGTTTTTCTCCATGGTGACGCTGCTGCTGCTGCTGTTGTTACCCTCTGCCGGGTCCATCTCGTTCTGTCTGTCCAGCGCCTCCTTCATGCGTTTCTGCCGTCTCTCCTCTCGTTTGGCCATGCGGTCCATCAGAACCTGCTCATCGTCGTCTGCGCCTCCTCCATAAGAGCTGCTCACAGACACCGTCTCGCTCACACTAGGAGGAGAGAGAGGGAAGACAAACGTGTTATTGTGTGGCCTTTTGTGAATGAGGAAAATGCCTCGAGTCCATTAACCATTGAGATGCCCAACTTGGTCAAGGCCTGTAAGTTCATTGAATTTCATAGCTGTTAATCTTAAGGTAAAAAAAGTAGGGCAAACTTCCCAAAACAAACAAAATGTTCTGAAGTAATTTGGACCAGGTCAACTGCATGACTGTGCCTCATGCACACCTTCTCTTGGTTGCAAAAAAGACATAATCCTGTGAAAGGAAATCAAGGTTTCCAGAGAGTTGCTGCAACATCAGTCATCCCTTCAGCCAGTATGTAGGCTGCTGGGAAATGGCTTTATTGGCAGGTCTTTACCAGAGATATTCTTAACAACTATTGGTCAGACTTTAAAAATAAACAGAAAATCACTACATTGCTCTTGGATTTCAGGCCTAGAGTTTAAATGGTATCCTTGACTCAATCGCTCTTTTGTATACATTAGAGGAAAAGCCAAGGAATTACCAAAGTCTGTATAATACATCCTCTGGGGAACATGAACGTCTGTACAAAATGTGATGAATCAAATAGCTTTACTTAAGTCTAGACTAAAGTGCTGGACCAACTAAATGGCTAAAAACGATTTATTTATTATGTATATTCTTCAATTCACATTATAATATTCTGAGCTAAAAGTCTGGCAAACATTATCCTTGCATTCACACAATGGCTATTCAACTGTAGGTCCAGTCTCAGCATCCTTCTGCACAATCCCCTTGTTGTTTGACTTGCCCAGGATGTATCTCTGAGCTCATAGCGAGGAAACATTCATATTCACAAAGCAGCGTCTGTGTTTCTGGATGTCAGAGCAGCCCACTACTTCCACTGGATCCAAGACAATTGATCTCATAGCCAAAAGAACGGCATATAAACGGATATTGAGCCCCTTTGTTCTTATGGCGGGCTTTCTGATGGATTGGTATGAGATCATCTCATGTCGACAGCTGGGACCGGGTAGAGAGTGGAGTACTTTATGCATTGGTTGACCTGAATGCATTCAAGGATGCAAACAATAATGAATGGTTTGCAAAAAGCCACTTCACAAGGATTCCATCAAACAACACCTGACAATGTCACAATATGTCATTTTAGTTTGTCGTCCTAACGAGGCACAGCAGGCCTATCCAGCTTTGGGTTTCTTTAAATGTTAAAGTGCTGTGCATGGGGCTCTTTTATAAGAAATACTCTTTATCTTAAGATTTTGGAGGCTGTATTTTAAGCCAGAAAACACATAGTATAGTAAAAGATAATCCATAAGGTTGGGTTTATATCTGCTTTAGCATGTATTGCTAGTGTTAGCATGTCCAGCTAACAGGCTACAACTGGCAATAGTTACTGAGTGTTACTTCCAAGGTTTCTGGGGTTAAAATAAAAAGGCCAGTTTAAGACTACTACCTCCACTGTTATGTTATGTCATTATTTCGATACTTTCACATTTTAAAAGTATTAACGTTAGCACCTATCCTGCCTTACTAGGGTTTAGTGAATTTAAACTCCAACAAACCCAGCTTATGTCAAAAGACGTATTATTCTTTACCCTAGAAGCCTTTTCTCTTTTAGTATTTAAAATGAATACACACTTTTCGTAAATATTAAGTAAGTTAGCTTAGCTGTCAACATGTTTATGTTGTAACACAATGGCCCTGTCTCAGGTCGACTATTTTCATTTCCTCGCTCCTCGCTCCTCGGTCTCACCGGAAGTTGATTTGTCTGCGCCATCTTGAGTAGCGTCGCATGGCTCTTATTTCTGCCGGAGGACCGAGGATCGAGGAGCGATAATGGAGGAGCGATAATCGAGGAACCACCAGTCCATCCTCCGATGAAATCCTCAGATACTCGCCCCGCCCCCTTACTGTGTATCGCTCACTGATTGGACGATGCAGTGCATGCACTGATCTCATGCTTCTTGACATGAGAGCAGTTTCCCAGCGGAGTGAATACAATAAATGAAACTCACGAGATTCACTCCTCAGTTTATACTGTGTTTTGTTTCAATTCATGTATCATTTAGTTACAAATATGTGATATAGCTGAACAACAAAGTGGTCAAAAATCATTTTATTCACTTGTTGGAAACATTTTCATGATCGCTTTTTTCGTGTTACATTTTCATTTATTGTCATTTCCATTCAGTCAGTCATAAAGTGCTATTAAAATGTTAATGTGCTACATATCCACACAAACAAACAAAGTGTGCAATCCAATGAATGTTAATCTAACTGGGTTTTGATAGATAATATATCTCTTTTTCTTCTCTCGATTATTTTATTTCTATTGTGCACTCTAATCAATATTAATCAAACTATTGTTCGTTTATACATTTTAAGAATGGCGTTTATCTTTTTTGAGAATGAGTTCTTATTTAATTTTATTTATTTGGGTCTACAACAGATGATACAAATGTTTGTGTCAGTAAACGTGTACTAACAGAGGCGTGGGTGTGTGTGGAAATAACGGGGACAGAGCCGCTGTGCAGCGTCATCACAAACGGACGTCGCTTCGCGTGACGCTCCGGAGGAAAGGACGTCCCATTGCTCAAAACTCATTTCCCTGCTTCTCGTGGTTTCCTTGCATCTCTCCATGCTTCCCTGGTGGGAGGGACTAGTCGCAGGGAAACGACGCAAGTGAGGGAAGCAAGGATTTAATTTAACCGACCTGAGACGGGGCCAATGCCTGACTTCATATGTAAGCACAATTTCACATGTAGCCATCAAGTGAATACTCAAAACACCTTTACAGGTTTATCATTTTAGAAAAAGTCAGAAAAGTTCAAATATTAGCTATAGACAGGGTTTTAAACAAACGTGTGGTTAAGGTGAGCTAGCAACCTACTAGCTAACTAGCTAGCACCAGCAAATAGAACTAGCTAACTAGCTAGCACCAGCAAATAGAACTAGCTAATTACAGGGAGAAAAATCTACAATTGCTCGCAATAAATGATATGGCTGCTTTTGTTTCCTTCTGTCTTCCGAGTGGTAAATCAACCGCCATTTTACTTTTAAACTATGACTGTAAAAAGCATAAAAGCTTAACATTAATACAGCAAGAGTCTGGCAGTTTTTCTTCCTCTTTGCCTCTTCACCTGGACCATAAATAGGGAGCAAAGCAGTCTGCTGAAAATACATTTGTCTGTGTTGCTAAATGTCTATCACCTGTGGCTGTTGGTCACGAGCAGACCGTCTGGCTGTCCGCTGGTATCTTCGCCATCCTTGCCCTTCATCCTCTCCTGGCGTGCCCTGCGCCTCCTCTCGCGGGCAGCCTCCTCCTCGTCATCATCATTTCTCGCCAACCTGAGGGAGACAAAAGGGAGGTGGTGACATTAAAAGAGATTTGAGTTTTCTTCAGCTTCAACTTCTTCTACCCTTTAACTTCAGAGTAGGAATCTTTAAAGTAGACGACTCCTTAAATTGGAGCTTTTCTCTTCTTCTCTCCTATCAAGCTAACCTGTCAGCCGTGCTACAACCTATACTTCTTATCGTTGCTGCAGACATTGGTGAGGACAAGAGAGCCAGAGAAACAGTGTCTCAAAGGTTTGTGTTAAAACTTTATATTTCTAAAAAGGAACTTTTTTCAACTCAGTATTGTATTAACCCTAACCCATGACAACACAAATATAATTGTCCCGTTTAATTGCTTTCACAACCTAAGAATGTGGGAAGGAATATAATTGAAGAAAAGTCCAACCTGGAATATCTTTGGAAGAAAGATTTCCTTTTGTATCCTTAATACTATGCATAACTGATCAGACATTCAGTAGATGAAGCAAGGTCACAACATGCAGTTTCTAAATGATCATAGTTAAAACATATGTTGTATTACGCAGCGTCCACACAGCAGCGTGCGTTGAAGCTTGCCGGCGGGCGTGTCTGAAGCTCGACCAACAACCATGAATCTCCCGCCCCAGACACACAAGCACGCGGTTTGATTGGCTAGAGCTTGTACTGGCATATGATTTGATTGGCTGACGCTTCCGTCGAAGCTTGAAAAGTTGAACTTTTCTCAACTTTTGAAGCGAGCAATGGAGGCAAAGCGAAGCGACGGAACCACAATGCAGTTGGGCAAAGCGTGACGTCACCCCATTCAAAGTGAATGGGAAGCAGCATTGAAGCTTCAACGCACGCCTCCGTGTGGACGGGCCGTTACGGAGCGTCCACACAGCAGCATGCGTTGACGCTTGGAGGTGGGCGTATCTGAAGCTTGGGGATTTTTTGCGAGCAACACGACCAACAACCAATCACATGAATCTCCCGCCCCCGACATACAAAGCAATAGCAATGTTAAAACGAAGTAAACTAGATATAAAATCCCCAAACAGGCGAAAACCTACCAGTTTCATCCACTGTCTCTGCCACCTCCCTCCATGCCTCGCTCCTCCGGTTTGTATCCCGGTAGATGAACAGAGACTGATCATACAGCACCGGGTGATTCACTACCGCTATAATGAATTTTCCCTCCATTTTTTTGAATATGAGGAAATGACCTGCGTAGTCTCTCCCAGCATACACGCGGTTTGATTGGCTAGCGATTGTACTGGCAGATTTGAATAAACGGGATTTCATTGGCTGACGCCTCCGTCGAGGCGTCAAAAGTTGAACATTGCTCAACTTTTGACGCCAGCTACGCCAGCAACGCTCCACGTCGCTTCCCAAAATGCAGTTCGGCTAAAAGTGACGTCACCCCATTCAAAGTGAATGGGCAGAAGCGTTGGAAGCTTCAACGCACGCCGCTGTGTGGACGGGCCGTTAGAGACATAGGATTTTAAGAACTGCGCCTTTTTATTCCCCCATCTTGCCCTGCTATTAACAGGGAGAAATCCATTGTGAAAACAAACCGCCCATATCCCTAAGAGAGCAAAATCCAAAGCAAGTGGATTATACATGTCTCTATTAAATGCAGTGGTTTAAGTAAAAGGGTGCGGCTGCATACAATCATCAACACAGCTCCATTGTTCACAGTGAAGTTGGCTAGAGCGCTACTGTATATTTATGTGCTTACATTTGATTGAAAGCTAAAAGTTGAGGCCTTTCTCTGGAGTCACTCTGGGAAATTCAGAATGTGAAATAGAAGAAGTAAATTAACGAGACTACATTTGGTGTATTCTTCCAAAGTATTAAATCAGTTCTGCTGTGTTTCTGGCCACCTGACATCCATGAACTCAGCTCCATGCTTGATCTGTGTCACCCCGACTGACCTTTAAACTCCCACTGCTAACCACATGCCTAGCTACCTGACATCACAGCGCCTCCTTTGAGGTCAGCCAGCAAAGCGTGCTATTGCATGTTAATTGCAACATGTGTGGTGAGCCAAGCTGCTTGGGTTTATGTGAGGTTTTACAGCTTGTGAACAACAATTTCCTTCTTTCTTTCCTTCCCCTTCACTGTTCTCTCTTCCTCCCGTTTCGTTCTCAGATGAGGAATGTTGTCAAAACAGAACAGATGAATCTGTCAACGCCCAATCTGGACCTGAGGGACATGACATCGGTGACGTCAGGCAATGATTTGCACATGTATTTGTGCTTGGTTCAGATGATTCAGGATGTTTAAGGGTAGAAAACTAGTATAATCAATAATAAATGTTTAGTACACTTTGTAACAACAGACAAAGACTAAGATGTAGCAAAACAAAGAAGAAGTATAAGTTCTATATACGTTTTGTAACGAACAAGCTATCAATTGTCACTATGAGTGTAAATCACAAGTTTCCTCACTTTACAAAAATACCACAATCTGGTATATGCTGATATCAAAAAGTCTGCCATGGTAAGATTTCAACTTGAATTAATTCAGGGGTCTGCGATCAATATGAGGTATAATATGCCTATTTAAAACAAGTTATATTTATATTAACTGCCAGAAATAAACTATGAGGGGTCTTTAGGAAGGAGGTGCACACAGTTGGATGGACCATGGGGAATTTCAAAATAAAGGTGTATCTGAAAAATGATGATATGTATTGATGTTTTCGCTTTGCATCAATGATATTGGATTGCTGACCATCAAATCGATACACGGATTCACACGCAAATTAGCAACAGAGATCATTATCGGTCACACTAGACAAAGTAAAGCTGTGAGTATCAAAGTGAGAAGGGTTTAAGAAAGAATTCTACTTTTTTTTGTTTTTAAGAATAATAACGTGTTATTTATTTTTTATTTTTAAAAGTTAGAGTCTACTTTAAATCTTTATTCTTCCCCCCACATCAACGTCTTTTTCAATAACCTTCAAACTCTCATACTTTCCGTGCAGTAGAAAGTACATTAACTCTTATTTAAATGTCAGAGCGAAATGTTTTTCCTGTAAAAAGAAAATAAAGAAAATGTGAAACAACTGTCCTAACTCCCAAAAGAATGCGCCATCCAGGAACGGCACCACCAAATGTCATGAGAAAAAGACGACAGCTAAAAATGGAAAAAAAAGAGAGCTGTTGGTGACGACGACAATCTCAGGGTTAAAGATTCCTCAAAAGGAGAGAAGAACAACCTCCTAAAAGCTGAATTAGCATTCCTGTCGATCACAGCATTTGCTAGAGACACGTACTCAACCAAAGGCCTGATTTAATATCCCTTTCCTTGCCTAGGCCCCAAACTCTATCAGCGTCCTGACACAGAAATATGGGGAGAGGTGAAAGCAGGGAAAGGGAAAATGAGCACGTGAAATGGAGAGTGAGGATAAAAAGGAAATATAAAGCGGGGAAGGAAAGGGTGTGCACGAAAACTGCAGATTTTATTATTTTGCTGCACAGACTGATTTGTAGTCACACTTCAAAACTTCAGGTAGAATGGAATACAGACGCCACTTTCTTGGGTGGCAGAGTACAGTATGTAATGAAAGCAAATTGCATAGTATTGACTGACAGCTAATATGTACTTCGGCTATGTTACAGCTGAATAGGAAATTAAAAGACTAGCTACATGTGTAGAAATTCCTCTTTTTTTTTTGCTGCATAGTACAGTAAAGCTGCTCTAAGCATTCACAAAGTAACTGTCTGCGTGGACACGAAACATTGCCATCAGCCTATTAGGGAGTCTAAATATTATCTTTGCAGCGAAATATCTCAGAAATGTCAGTGAAAACAATTTGGGAAAAGCCCATGAGAAAATACTTCTTCACCCCTCCTCAAGAAGAGGGACAGAGGGAGAAAAGTAGAGAGGATGATCGAAAAGAAAAGCTGCTGTGAACAGAGGGGAGGTGAGGGAAGGGGGAGAGGGTGGGGGCTCCGCAGAAATGCTGACCCATTCCCACGCTGGCCTCTCTGGACTTTTTCCCTTCCTACGGCCGGCCCAAAGAACCGCAACGTACCCCGTCTGTCTCCCTTCCCCACCCTCGATCTGCTGGGCCGACTCATCATTCTCATTTTACACTTTTTGCAGGGAGAAAAATTAGTCTTCAAAAATCTCCTTTCTGTGATTTAGAAGCTGACACACGTAGCTCAACCTGTCCCTTTATTGCTTTATCTGTACGTCCCTTCTCTTCCTGACAGAACCAACAGGTTTACGACGCAGGGTCATGTTTGGAGCGGTCCATTCACCCGGGGCGGGGAGTGTTTGGCACGGCTCATTCACGGAGGATGGGTGTTGTTTCCTCGGCCCTTCCTGGTCTCTCAGGGGAAGGGGGCAGCACAGATGTAGAGGAAGAGGAGAAAAGGGAAGAAGAGAATAGCGCAGTGGCCGGGGGAGAGGCAGAAGGAGAATAAAAGGAAACATTTAGGAGGGATGCAAAGGGAAGATGAGAAGAAGGAAGGTGAAATAGGTAAAGGAGAGTGATGAGAGAGAGAGGAGGAAAACGGGTTAAAAAGTGGAAGTGGACATTTAAAGTTGTGGGGGTTGTGTGCGTTTAGGGATTTTTTTTTTCTTCTTGTAAACTGAGCATTCTATCACTATATAAAAAAAGACTATTTCAGGCACATACCCCTTGGTCACTGATTGACTGGGAACATTCCACATCCATGTTTCCCTCTTTTGGTAAAAAAAGAAAAAGGCAATCGAAACATTCCTGTGTGTTTCATGAAACAGAAACGTACTTTAGCACTGATGATGAGCAGGGGAGCTGAAGAGCAGGAGAGAGTGTGAGAAACGTCGGTAGGGCAGGAAAACCTGTGTGTGTGTGTGTGTGTGTGTGTGTGGCTTTAAAGAATAGAACAAGAAGTGAATTGAAGCCCACCTCTATATCAACAATGTTTTTTTTTGTACAACTATAACTGAGGCTGATGTAAGACAGAACAGGGAAGGCTGTTCTTTCTCCAGACACACACGCACAACAACTCGCACGAGACACACACACACACCACTTAGTTGTCGTTCTGAAGTGAATGGAGCTTGTCAAACCCTCATCACCTGACGTTGATTCCAACACACACAAGCGATTTGCATGGTTAACTGAATGCATGCACTAGTATTTTGTACGTTTCCAGAGACTGTGACACTGTGACACACACACACACACAACACACACACACACACACACACACACAACAACACATAACACACACACACACCACACACACACACACACACACACACACCACACACACACACACACACACACACACACACACACACACACACACACACACACACACACACACACACACACACACACACACACACACACACACACACACACACACACACACACACACACACACACACACACACACACACACACACACACACACACACACAATCTCACTGTCCCAGCATGTAGGAAACAGCTCATGGAGACCTGGCCAGTAAACACTTATAATAGCCAGGAATTTGGCATTTCTTCAGCAGTTATTATATGGCCCCACCACTCTCTCCGTCTCCTCACAGCGTGCTCAGTGATGGTTGAATGGAAGCAGGCCAATGAGACAACATGTGGTTTTGACTAGAGACAAGAGAGGCATGTAAATATTGATTGTTTCAATATATTGGCATGAATGGAAACAATGTAGAGATGTAATCTTTTATCAATAACAGGAGCGGCGTGTCGTCTGCCAGCTTATTGCTGCTCTGACCAAATAAACTCCTGCAGAGCTAAAAACGTAAAAGTCAGAGGCGCTTACAACTCTGGCTCTTTCTCACTCTCGGTCCATTTCTCCTTCGGTCGGTCATCTCTTCCCACTGTAGGCTCTTCTTAGTCTGCATTTTCTGCCAAATTCCATGTTCTCAGTATCATAAACACTCCGAAACTGCATAAATATTTCTAGCAGCAGAGGGTTTATGGGGGATTTTAAGCTATGAAACATAACAACGGCGTTAACCTTCACTTCAATCAGCTCTTTAGAAGGCATCTGGGGAAATGAGGCATTAAAGTCTGAAAGGGAAAATATGCCAAGAAGGAGAATATCGCAAAACTATTACACACACATTAAGATATTCACCCTGAAATGGTTCCCAAAGGTATAGATAAAGTCGCTATGGAAATAGTAGGTGCGTATGAGTAAGTAAGGCATTTTCTCTTTACAGGGTCCTCTTACATTTGGTTATTAAAGAACAATCATGCAATATTTTTATTTCTAAATTAAATCTAAGTCTACCTGTAACGTGACACAGACGAGACTAATGACGTTCCATTCAACTCAAAGAAGCATTTTAGCATATTTTATTTTCCGTTCACCTTGTTTTTCACCTAGAAGGCAGCTGTTATCAGAGAAAAGGATCTGACCTCAACTATCTACCAAGCACTGACAGAATTAATAACTTTCTGGAGAAACATTTAAACGTAAAGGAAACATTTCCCTCAAGAGTTGGTGGAGACCAAAACAGAGCTAAAAGTAGATGAGTATTGGACTCTCATTTGGATGAACGACTTAACCCTGAATGTTATAACCAAGTATATCTCCTTAACAAGTTTTGGATGCTGCAGAATTTCTTTTATACAAGAAAGGTTATTTTACCTTCAGCAAATGGCCCACTCATATTCTTTGTGTCATAGAAATGTTATCAGAGAGAAACATCTATGCATTCAGCAGTGGTCAGCTTGTTTCTCATCAGTGATGGAGTAGCTGGCTTGAACAAAATCTTCTCACAGATACATCAAACAGGTGAGCGACCTTGCTCGGTATCAGCATCCACATCAACCTCGTCCTTAATTGGAAGCCGAGCTGCAGCCCACATGGAGAGGCTTGAGTGAAAAGGCTCTATTAAATGCCTCCTTGGCACACCATGTATCAAGATCTCGCAATAAAAAAAAACCTTTTTACTAGTTTTGATTACTGCACTTGCCGTGTTACCGCTCAATCACAAAGCTGAAATGAACTTTAGCTTAATCAATTCCTCCCATTGAATCAAAGGAAGTTCACAAGGCCGCGGTATCTGGGAGAGAAAATTGGAAAGAGGGGCGGGAGGGCGCGATTGAACATTCCCACTTAAAGGTCATCTCTTTGCTTATCAGATTTCGTATCAACCTGTTTTTGCCTCCAGTCCAGGTCGGGGAAGCCAATATTTGCTGAGTGATGCTTTTAAAGACCGAGGGGAGGGTCTAAGCCGTTAAAGCTGGCGCCCTGTTCCGACTTGGCATGAACATCAGTGCACTGACAACCAGACCCTCATTACACAACAGCAGCTTCACACAGCCAAAGATCTTAAGGGACAGCTAAGTTCTGTGGCTCCAACTACAAATGAATCCATTGTAGAAAAGTGACTTCCTTTAAACACTTTCTGCTTTACAAGATAATGTATTGAAAAATCATAGTGTACTAATCTGCAGACGTGAATGACAGACAACCAAACGGGTCTTACCGCTCGGCCTCCAGGCGCATCTCCTCTCGTTTCTGCCTCCTCAGCTCCCGGCGCTGCTCAAAGTCCATTTCCTCCATGATTGTGCCCTGAGGGATGACATCACCAAACACACACATGTTGATTTGCTCACTTTCAGGAAGGCAGAAAGGAAGGAAAGGCGAAAATGCATTCATTTAAGCATCCTGAGAGGGCTGGAATACTTGTTGAACAAAGCTTAAGTTCTCTGATATCTGGGAAGTACTGTATTTGAAATGACAATTCTTAAATAATAAAAAATGTAAACGTAGATTTGATTCTAGATTCAAAATGCCTTCACACATGGGACATGGGTATTTCAGAGTTACCGTTACAGCCTAATCACTGCTGTATTATATTCCTGCTAATGCAAATGCAACATCCTGCTGCTGTGGCTTCAAATTGAAATCATTTTTAGGGCAAAACATGGACAGCTTTTATTGTACAGCAGCCACAGCAAAGACAATTCAAACAGGTATTCTTCAAAACTGTCCTTTTGCAGGTATTTTAATCAGCTTTTGATCATTTTTTATAATTGAAAAGAACAAAAAAAAGTTGAGGCTCAATGAGGGTTTGCCGTTTCATTTAACCACTGTAAGCTGTAAGCACGGTTGTTGCCAAATCGACGAGGCATAACATCCTAAAGATAACTTACTAACATCTACGCACAGTTCACATCAGAAGTGTGTGGTCGTGAAAATGTCCGTCTCAGATGCAAACTGCCTGAAACGACACCCAGAAACTTCAGTGGACAACAGAGGAATGAGGAAGAGAATGAAAGAAAGAAGAGCAGAGAATCCAACACAGGATGTTAACTCAATCAGTTAAGAACAACTCTCACTAAAAATACCCCAGTGGGTTACGTGACTGCACTGGACTAATACATCCTCAAACTACTATCTTCTAAACACAGCAGCACGGTAAACATAGGACAAACGAAGGTGCATGGCAGTTTACAGAATAAATAAATGTTGTGTTCAGATCCTTTGTGGTGATAGAACATGAAAGTGGCAGAAAATAAGATGCTTGAGAGGATCATTTGAAGAAACAAAAGGAAGAACGTCGACCGTCATACCTTGAATTCAAACAATTGTGTTTTCCTTCACACCATACCAGTGTCTCACAATGCTCTCTCCAAGCAGACAATGCTACAACGTGAAGTAAGAGTCTCACAGTCCGGCCTCAGCTGACAGAAAAGGCAAATGCCTGTTCCCTTCCCCTCCCTGCTAGTCCCTCCCTCCATCCTCCAGTGACCTCCTTCCTTCTTTCCCTTAGCCTTGCCCCCTTATTCCCTCCCTCCCTTTGCCGTCTCCTCTCCCTATCCCCACTGCTAACTTTTCCCGTTCTGTGCCCACATGTCAGAGCTTGGCTAAACTCTGTTCTCGGACGTGACTCGGCTCTTGAGGCTAGCTTCCTGTGTGCTACAAGCGTGCTTTTTTCCGTGTATCTGCACACAGGCAAGGTTGAAAGAGAGCCTCTTCACACATCTGTATATAAGTATGCATGCACACAGGCACGCAACATTACAGCGTTTGTGTGCATGCATTCACACAGAGCAATAAGCATACTAATGAGAATGTACACACAGACAGGAAACACACAGAGAAGCTAAAAGAAAAAATGCATGACTGAGGAATCCTACTCCCCCTCCCCACTGCATCTTCTCACCCAGCCCCCCCCTTTCCCTATTTGAGCCTGTACAGTAAACACAGCTTCGTCTCCCCGCTATTACACTGTAAAAGCCACTGTGACTCGGAGGAGGGAGAGATATTTTAAATACCGCAAAAATGCACTCTATGTTTAGATGCACTCTGAGTATTATTTGCGAAACGACAGGGGAGGTGGGGGAGGGGATTTAATGCGGGGCTATACAACCGTAATTAAGACGAAATGAGCGCAATAAGTAAAACCGACAAGGCCTCCAAACATCACCAGTCTAATCACATACTTCCTAGAAGCAGCGACGCCAAGGGAGACAAAGTTATTAGCAACACAAGCACGGCGGCGGCATGTACATTTGCAGTTATTGTTGCAAATAATGCGTGATTTATGCAGCGGAGGAGACCGCGTTTTCATTTGGTGTTCAGGTTTGTTAGAAGAAAAAAATAAAGAGTTATAGATCGTTTAAAAACATGCCATTTACAAAGTAAGTTAGAATGAAAGTAGGTTTGTGATCGCAGCGGGCCATATACGCGAGTTTACATGAATCATAAACCTGAGGTAATTATATTTGATTTATGGTGTATGAATAGGGCTGTGAAATGAATGCAAGAGTGAATGCGGCACAGTCACATTGTCTCGTCTCCACGTGGGAGAGCACCGGGAAGAAGAGGAAGCCTGTGGCTCGCAGACAAGGCCCTCAGTAAGACGTAGAAGTGTAACGGTTGTGTATATCACTGGAGGGACCACCCGCACTTTGCAAAAGCTAACAGAGGCAGAACGAGAGAAAGACAGCATTCCATAAAGTTGAGCAACCTGGAGTCGCACGTTTGGGACTTTTAGCCTGTCTTAGCATGTCCACTGTAAAACCTCTTCTTCTGCCTGTTACGTTTTGACCATTTGTCAAACCTGCATCCATACATCCTGCCCTCACTTCTCATTCTGTCTCTATTGACTCCCCTCCTCCACCTCTTTCTCTTCCCCTGTCTGCCCCCACTTCTACAATGGCTATAATGACACATTTACCAGTGAAATTACTACCTGTGTCGAGACTGCCAGACCCTGGCACAGAACCCAGTGACTAAGTGCCAGCCTCTTAAAAAGCCAAGTTGATATTATCCTGACAGCCACTGGGATTACACCCCCCTTATAATGCCTCTATCTTCTCACGAAGTCTTGGGTTAAAAGCACCAAAACAATGGGCCCCTATTGGACAAATGAGGCACGAAGTAGATCAAGCAGCAGTCTGGGAGTAAAGCTGAAGAATGGGCCAGCAGAATGTCTATTTTTGGTCTTTGGTGAAATGTTCCTAACGCTGGCTTTGCATTCTTCTAAGTGGAGCTTTTTGGTCAGATTTTGTAACTGTGATACTGATCAGTCAGAGCAACCATCCCCTCACCACCTTAAGACAAACACATTAATCTCCACATTATGGCTATGGAGCTATGCGAGGAATGCTTCTATTTAACCTCTGATTTTAGCAGAGGGGACTTGAAAGAGCCTCCAATTACTCACTCAGATGCCAGTTAAAGACAACTCCTCATTTGGAATTTCCTTTGTGTGCAGTGACGGTTTTAGTTGCTGAATAAAGGGAATGAATGTGAAGTAAACAAGTAAAAACTAGCTTTACGCACGCTGTATGCTTTCTAGCTGTGAGGTTGGCAAATAAAGGAACAATGGTTACTTGTTGCAGCTGGTGGTTACAAGGATTAGTCACAAATCAAAAGGTATTTAGTTTATATTGAAGTGACTTTTACGTTTAGCTACGTTCTAGTCTCAAACATGTTGGAATACAAACCCTTTTTTATAAAGATTTTACATCAACCCTTTATTGACTCTATCCTCTTAACAGAACATGTCTAAAGGCAGAACTCACTGAAAGTCAATTGATGCTTGGACTAGTGCTTATTTTGCTTTTTAGAACAATAGGTGTACTTTAAAAACGTATGCATATGTGCATTTGAGCCAGTCTACAGCCATGCTAACAGCTCTGTGCGGCTTTGCCTGTAAGCCAAATGCCACATTCATCGAGCTATAATGCTTACATGTTAATGTTAGGGAGACCTATAATGTTAACAATGTTCAGTAACAAGCACTTTTTGACTTGTTATTATCATCTAATGCCACATTTCCACTGACTTGCACGCTCTACTCTAATAGACTTTTTTTGGAATAGTACATGGAATTTTATGGTACCAAAGTTTCAAGCAGCTGAGCCGAAGAAGGTTGAATCAAAACACCGCCGCCCTCTGATTGGTCAAAGAGAATTGTCAATGATAAAAAACCGAATATCCTGCACAATCCCCTAATTTTCATTAGCAGATATCAATAGTGATATCAATGCATATATTTGTTAAAATGGAAGCCTGCAAATTACAGCGTAAAATGATGTAGATATTTCTCTCTTTGGTTTCCAATGAATGGATTCAGTGTTGTGTTATTACCGTAGTTTTATGAGGCACCGCTACGGCGATAAGCTAATCACCCCTGCTACATTAAGAAAAGTGAGCATCGGTTACACAACAGTGCCAACAACAAGTCTGCAGTTAACAATCGGTACATGAACCCTTTAAAACATGAATGCTGCATTATGAGAGGAGAGGAAGATTGATATCTCCAGCAGCAACAGAGCCACAGCTGTCCAGGTGTCCAGGTGAAGAGAGGTATTCCAGTTATCTGGAATGTGAAGGTAACACGGACACAAAGCCCGGTCTTTCTAGTCTTTGCATCAATGGAAGGAAATATTTCGTCCACCTGCTATGGTTGGTATGTTGAAGAAGTTTCACTATTTTACCTGTCACTTACCGTTTAACCTTCAGAAATAATATGCTACCGTGGAAGCTAGCTGACACAGGAGATGTCAAAGCTATGTGAAACATGCCTTTTGTAAAATGATACACAGAAATAAATTGAATAAGCTATCATTGTGTATTGTGGAAAATCAGGCCTGAGAAAAGCAAGCAGCAGGATTTCAGTATTTTGACATGTGCCGTCTTCACCTATCAATACTCGGTCAGTCAGACTAAAAATGTCAGGGCTTTTGTCAAAAGTTAGAACAGGACGAAATTACAATTGTCTCCTGAGTTCAAAACTTTGAAGCTTTTATTATGACAGCCTCTCTTAAAAACAATCATAGGTCTTTCTGTTTTCGCTAAAAGTCCCCTTATCTTTGAGGTCCTCTGTCGAGCTTTCTCGGAAACAAAGTTATGTTTACAATCAGGTTTTCTTGCCTAACATAACATTTGCAAAATTTGGCAAAATCTCAGTATTCTTGTCCACTGGCTTTTTCCGGTTCTATTGCACTACTAGTGTTCAATAACTTTAGAAGGCATTGCACTGAAACACTTAATTAAAGAACTCATACTTAGAGGGTTTCAATTTCCAGTGCGTAGGAGTTGACTAACACTATGGG